CATGATCTGATACTTGAGTGATGAAACATTGTACAATCAGTTTTCCAACATTGATATTGGAAAAGAAAGTGCTCATACAAGTTTTACTTTTAATTTTGTTAAACTGTATTAAGTTGGATCACTAGTTCTATTATAAGTATAGATTGTAGACTGTAGACTTTGGAGAGGCAGTAAAGTACTGAGCAATCTCGATGAGACTGAGGGAGGATTAAAAGACATTCATTGTTACAGCATGTACTTGGGATTATAATAATCTACTTAGTCATTGGGATTGTCATAATTAAGCTAATAAGTAATTTATTTCAAGTGGAAAAGCGATATCTAAAGGTACAATGGGCAGGGGAAAGTGTAAGGAGGTTTCTAGTGCAAAAAGTCAAGCTGTATTTGTTACATTCCCAGTCAGTTAATACAGCCGAATGTACAAGTTCTAAAGAACATAGAATAATGTACTGCAATATGAATAATGGTTATGGATAGTACAAATAAATATTTTATTACTGGTGCTGATGATGCTTTTCTAAGTGTGATTATTCATGTTCAAATATAGTGGATGGTAAAGTGACTGATGTGGAGACCACAGATCTGGAGAATCGTAGGGAGATTCTAATAAACGTAAACACGCCGATCAAACCAGTAATTTGGTTACTAATAGTCATATATGGAAAAAACGGTTTTGTACACGAACATCCACGCGTGCATGCCAAACGTGGATTGCCCTAAACACATCAGAAAAGGACAAAGCATGAGTAAGACCACGTCTTGACTTCTGAGTATCAGAGAACAGTTACAGACCCGTTCTAAAACTGCTGCCCGAGACCAGCTACAGGCCCGTTCTAAAACTGCTGCCCGAGACCATGGAGCTTTGAATCATTAGAAGCATGCGTAATTAGAGAACCGTGTTATAAACGTGAACTTCGATGGAGTTAAAATACATGTTTATATCAATATTTGTGATTGATCACCGTTAATTGGTGTTAATGAGCTTCTCCAGTGCAGAACCATGTGCGGCCGGTTCCACGGCCCGGCCTCCCAACAATGTCCCCAGACCGGCGCGTCGCCCGGGTTTTAATAAAACTGTCCAAACTCTGTCCAAACACGACAAGCACCTGTGTGCGCTGCTATCAGCGTTCCGCCGTTGTTAGCTAGACTAGGCTTAAGGTAGTGCAGTATATACGTGTGGTACAACGTGAACCTATGTCTAGCATGCACTACCTATCTTTTATCAATTAATATAACAAAGATGATAAAAGGAACTGAGTAGATAATTACATCGACATGTGGTTTAAATTTCTGCTGATGTAAGATTAAAAATCACGACCATTTCTTGATACGACGTTTATTAGGTTGCGCCTACTTGATGACATATTTGGTGGAAAAGTGGTCATTACACAATTTGATGGGTTTGTTGTGCAGCCCTCGTTTGCGTCCACGTGAATTTCTCCCACGTTTAGGCAGTTAGGCTGCGGTTTCCCCGGGCAACGGAACACGGAGCGTCCCGGCTGGCTGGTCACGGGTTGCGCGCAGGCCCGGTGCTCGTTCCTGTTCGTCTGCTGCTCGTCTCATCACGGTTTGTATCGTAGCTAATTCTATGCCTGGATAAGTTAGGATCAGGCACCGTTCTGGAGGTAGATTTGCCCCAGCCACGGTTGAACTGAACACGCGAGGACTATCCAGAACCTTGCGTTTGGTTCTGGATAAAGCACAGTTCTGGATACAACAAGCCCGGTCCTTTTATTTCAACAAATTTCTGGGTCCATCGATGCTTTATTTTATAGTCTCGTGCCATAACATTGTATTGTAGCATGTAAAACCCATTGTTGCTCGTTTGGTAATTTTACTTCGGTCCTTAGCCACTGCTTCTGTGTCTGCTTTAGCTTCCTGTGATTCCACCCAGAACGTTCCATGGCGATGTTCCCGACCAACTCCTCAGCGGGAAACGGCACGTTTCTGCCGGCGATGACGCGTGTCCAGCCCGACATGACGCGTTACCCGCCCGACATGACGCGTTACCATCCCGCGGTGACGCGACTGTGTTACGATGTCGGGCAGGAGCGGCTGGAGCGGTGGTTGGACGAGCTCGTGGCGGAGTCCAAGTCACACGTCACCACCCTGCTGGTCCTGGTCTGCGTGGTGGGGACCATTGGTAAGTACCGGTACCCTATACACCTGCATGTCGTGCCTATCTATAATCCTAACCTTGACCCTGACCCTGACCCTGATCCTAACCCTGACCCTGACCCTGACCCTGACCCTAGCCCTGCTGGTCCTGGTCTGCGTGGTGGGGACCATTGGTAAGTACCGGTACCCTATATATCTGCATGTCGTGCCTATCTAACCCTGACCCTGACCCTGACCCTAGTCCTGCTGGTCCTGGTCTGCGTGGTGGGAACCATAGGTAAGTACCCTATATATATATGCATGTTGTGCCTATCTAATCCTAACCCTATTAAACCTTAACCCTAGCCCTAGCCCTAACCCGGACCCGGGCAAGGTTCGGGCTTGCCTAAGAACATAGATTTTGGCCAAGGCATGGTCCTGGATAAGCGCGGACTATCCAGAACGGTGTTAGAGCAACGTTATGGATAGTACACGGTTCTGGATACGGTTCTGGATACGGTTCTGGATACAGTGCTGGATACGGTTCTGGACACAGTGCTGGATACGGTTCTGGATACGGTTCTGGATACAGCACGGTAACGATCTCCACCCGTTCCCCGCAGGAAACCTGCTGGTGGTGCTGGTGAGCGCCCGGCGGAGGAAACAGTCGTCTGCCACCGTCTGCCTGACCTGCCTGGCCGCCGTGGACCTGCTCATCTGCGGCGTCTTCGTGCCGCACAAGATCTTCCACATCTACCACATCTCCTACACCGGACCTGTCTGGTGTAAGGTAAGGTCTACACGGGACCGTCTGGTGTAAGGTAAGGTCTACACCGGACCCGTCTGGTGTAAGGTAAGGCTCTTCGGATGTTTGCCTAGCTAAAATTCTCTAAGCAGATCTTTTGGTGAGGGTAAAACAGTATCAAATTGGCCAGTCTGTAACCATTTCCCCACCCAAGTTGGTGGTGGTAGCGACAAAAAAGGGCCATATATAAAAAGCAAACGATCTTCCACCATCAACCTCTGCTTGGGGAGTATGCCTAGCCATTTCACACAACACCTCAACTCCCTACTCTAACCATTTGGTCCGGACACAAGACAAAAGGCCGATAAGGTGACGTCAGATTGTTTCTGCAAATCGAGGAGGGCACTTAATTGTATCCTGTATAGTCTCTGTTGTATCCAGAACCGTGCCTCTCTAGTTCCTTGATCATAGAACGTGCCAAACCATCTTCCGTTCCAGCTGAACCCGTACTTCATGACGGCTGGTCTGCTCGGCTCCACCTTTCTGTTGGACGCCATCGCCGTGGACAGGTACCGCGCCGTCTGCCGGCCGCTGCGGTACTGCACCACGAGGTGAGCGACGCTTGGTGTGCCCAGAACCGTGCCTGTCTAGTCCTATTCTGAAGGACTGAATGGGTTAGGCTTAGGTCCGATTCTGGATCTGGTCCGGTCACCGCGTCTCCAAGAATGTAGATTTGCCAAAGGCAATGTTCGTATATGCGTGGACTATCCAGAACCATGCCTAAGTATGGTGGATCATGACTTTTGTCTCGCCGCCAAAAGTTCTGCTCGAAGATGATCTGTTCTGTGTGCATGCCTAGACGCTAGTGCTTAGCGACCCTGCCCGTCAGGTTGGGGCTTCGAATCCCGGCTGTTGTCGCTCGTCCGACATGCACGCTACTGGAAGTCCCTAGAGCGGGACGTTAAGCTATGGTCGGCACTGTTAATTGTGCTTGGTAAAAGGAGCTAGGGGAATTTCCAGGCCACAATGAACCTGTAAATACTGTACATAGCGTCTGTCTTCTTTGTCACGACCAGAGGGAGATTAGCTCTTCGTTGAGCTAAACGGGATTGAGATCGCTTTTCTTTAACTTTCTTTTCTTCCCACTATCAGGACTTCTATATGTACATGTAGCTAGATTATCCAGGAGTGTTACGGCTCAGGTTATAGTTAACGTTAGCACATTATAGAAATGTTGCACTTGTGTCCCTCAGGAAGCGTCGGACCGTGGCGGGGTGTGAGGGCGCCGTGCTGCTGGGGTTCGCCTTGGCGGTACCGGGCCCAGGGCTGGCGGGTCTGTCCCTGGGAACCGCCTGCCTGGCCGCCAGCATATTTATAAACTGTGTTGTGTCCCACAGAAAGCGTCGGACGGTGGCGGGGTGTGCGGGCGCCGTGCTGCTCGGGTTCGCCCTGGCGGTGCCGAACCTGCTGGGCCCGGCGGAGCTGGCGGGTCTGCCCGTGGCGCCGCCTGCCAGACCGTCAGCATCTGCCTGCTGCGGGAAGGCGCCGTGCACAGACAGGCCTACTTCGTGGCCACGGCAGCCATCTTCTTCGCCTCCGTCCTCATGATGGTCGTGCTGTACGCACAGGTATGCTAATACATGTACCCCGGGCAAAGGTTGCAGCGGTATGGATACCACCTCTCTGTCTAATCTGTACGAGTATTAACCACCTCCCTGTCTAATCTGTATTACATAGAACAAGAGAATCGAAATGAAAAGGTTCCAGTTCTAGGTTAGCTTGCTGAAAAGCTACTCTTCCGTTGATCCAAATCTTCTGTTCTCTTCCACAGGTTTTAAACGCGTGACAGGCGTCCGGCCGGTCCACTCCCGGGCCGGTCTTCCATCTGGGGCGGCCAGCGCTGCCAGCGTCCGGCCGCAGCCAGACGACAACACGCCCGACAGCACGCCCGACAGCACGCCTTGTGACAGCACGCCGTGTGACAGCACTCACTGTGACAGCACGCCGTGTGACAGCACGCCTTGTGACAGCACGCCTTGTGATAGCACGCCGTGTGACAGCACGCCTTGTGACAGCACGCCGTGTGACAGCACGCCGTGTGACAGTACGGTCTGCGACAGCACTCACTGTGACAGCACTCCCCGTGATAGCACGCCTTGGGACAACACGCCCGACAGCACGCCCTGCGAAAGCACGCCCGACAGCACTCCCTGCGACAGCACGCCCGACAGCACTCCCTGTGACAGCACTCCCTGCGACAGCACTCCCTGCGACAGCACTCCCTCCTGACAGCACTCCCTCTGACAGCACTCCCTGTGACAGCACTCCCTGCGACAGCACGCCCTCTGACAGCTTGCCGTGTGACAGCAACACTAAGCAAAGCACTACAGTGTCCTCGCGAAAGTCCTGCAATATCGTGACGTCACATCGGAAATCGGATATCCCCCTCACGTCACAGCCAATATCGGACAGTCCCATGACATCGCCGAAATATGACAGCCCCATGACGTCACAGCCGAAGTCGGACAGCTCCATGACGTCACAGCCGAAGTCCAGCAACACCCTGATGCCCCCGCAGCCGTCCGGCGGCACCTTAACGCAGAGGCGGAGAAGCAGAGCACACAGCTACACGGCCAGCCTCCACGGGCGGCGAATCTCGTTCTCCATCCCTCGGCTAGTCCCTCCCGACAGAAATGACACTATCAGCACATTCTTCACTACTCAGCACCAGTTCCGGGTGGCCAAGCTGCTGATGCTGGTTACCATGGTGTTCATGTTGTCATGGTTACCGTATTGGTCCCTCACGCTGTACATGATGACGCACCCGACATGGCTGGGAGAACAGGATCACGTCACGAAGAAGGCTGTTGACTTCTTCCAGCACTTCTACTTGGTGAACCACGCCCTAAACCCGCTCATCTACGCCTTCGTGCAGCGCGACTT